TGGGTTTTGAAATGCTTGTGGCATTGATAGGTTCTGGTGCCAATTGGTTTTGGTACAGAAGAAATGGAAGCAGTTATTATCGTTGATGTTTTGAGGAGAGCTGGTGCTGAGGTAATTGTTGCTTCAGTAGAACCAGAGCTTGAAGTTGAAGCTGCAGGTGGCACTAGGCTTGTTGCTGATACCTCCATTTCCAAATGTGCCAATGAAGTTTTCGATCTTGTTGCTTTGCCGGTTTGTTGTTTTTTACTTTGAATCACTCATGGTTTGCAAATTAATTCATGATTGTTACATTTATTTCTCATTGATAATGTAGCCGGGGCAAATACTATGACATAGCTTCTTTTTTTTTTTTCTTCTTTTCTTTTTTTTTTAAATTTTTTTTCCATAAATGGTTGGTTAGTGACTGACACTCATTGAGAAATTAATAAAAAGTATGGTTTAGTTGATTTATGATCGTGCCGGTAAAGAAAGGTATACATACAAGCGTGAATGTTAAGTATAGGAAAAAGACATACTTAACGACACGATTTAATTGGAAAATCGAGAAGATTGTGTTTTCTCTGGGGTTGTCACAGGGAGTTGGGTTGCTTGTTAGTACAGTAAATTTTATTTGGAAAACAATTGTAGCTTTTGTAGTTTGATCTGGCCATGTAATTTGTAACAAAGGCTTGCGTGTTGTGAATGGCTTCAAGGGAGGAATGCCAGGCTCCGCAAGGTTGAGAGATTGTGAAGTTCTCAGGCAAATTACAAGCAAACAAGCTGAGGGTAAGAGATTATATGGAGCTATATGTGCCGCTCCAGCAATCACTCTTCTTCCATGGGGCCTCCTGAGGAGAAAGCAGGTGGCTTTCATGTGTTGCTTTTGCTTGAATTTTGTTGAAAACACATAATGTATCTTTGGTTGACTAAATGTGCTGTAGCATGTGATGTAAGATGACAGGTCACCCTGCATTTATGGACAAGCTTCCTACTTTCTGGGCTGTTGCATCAAAAATTCAAGTTTCAGGAGAGCTTACAACAAGCCGCGGTCCAGGAACTTCTTTCGAGTTTGCTCTATCCTTAGTAGACCAGCTGTTTGGAGAGTCTGTGGCCAAGGAGGTTGGACAATTGTTGGTAAGTTTAATTGCTTTGCCAGTTTCATTTTTACTTTTCATGTATGCGTCAACATAGCATTTTGGAAATCAATTTCCTGTCATTAACTTAAGTGCATTGAAAGCATGTGCAGCTTAGTCATGCTATTCTTTACTGCGAACCTCTTATTCCTAAATGAATAGAAGTTAAAATTACCTTTTTCAGTGGTGTATAATCATGATTTAAACTCTGCTATTTTTTCTGGACATGATCTGCTGAAGTTAACAGGGATAATTAGCGAACTGTTTTCAACTTTTCATACAATTGAAGATTCTGTGCAGAATTCTGAAATGAAATGCCTGATAACAGGCTCACAAAATTTCTATTATCCTGTTAAGTACTAGGATCTTAGCACAACAAATTCTGCTGAAAGCAATACAAATTATTGAAGTTTTTTTTTTTTTGGCATCTGTCCATTCATTTAACTCAACTGGGATTCAGACCTCATCATGCACATCTTAAATATTTTTTGTTCAGTCAGATTATGGAAGGCTCGGATGGATTTCTTTCTATCCTTTAATACAGTATTTTTATAGTGGGGAAAGAAAGTCTGGATGGTATGAAAGAAGCAGTATGACAGTATGAGTTAAAGCATTAATTATCTTAGTGATCCTTCAAGTTTTCTAAAACGGAATGCAAAGAGTCTGTGATATCTTCATTTAGTTCATATCTTCAAAGTGTCACTACTTTTTACCCATGTAATGGTTTTTTATAGGATTATTAAAAATGCACAGAAAACCAATGACAAAAAGTAGAAAAATTTGATAAGTGATTGTGTGTGTGGGATGCATAGATCAGGTGAGCTGTTTTCTTTTGTTGTGTAAAAGATTCGTCTGTCAACTGACTTGTCTTCTCTTACATGTTTACCCTTTGGAAGATGCTTTGTGGTTAATCATCTTGAGCTAACATCTCTTTACACCTTATATTAGCTAATGCAAGCTGATGATGACACCCAGAGAAAAGAAGAATATAACAAAGTTGAATGGTCTTTTGATCACAATCCTCGTGTAAGTTTCTTCTACCATCCTGTTTCTGTTAATCACCTATTGGTTTATAATCTTCTTTTCCTGGAGAACACTCGATGCGGGGATGTGGAACACATTAAAAACAAGAGCTCCTCATATTTGAAACAATTTTGCATTTTTTCAGTTGCTAGGTGGACACACTGATATTTTTTGAATGCATCTCTAGTTTAATCATTTGTGTAAAGTTGCTTCATGAAGTAGTTCCTGTATCCCTGTGCAATCCCAATTTATAGCATTTGTTTGTCTTCTCATCCCTATTGCATTTGAGTTTCTTCCTATTTATCATCAAATTAATCTTCCACATGTTACACAGGTTCTCCTTCCAATTGCAAATGGTTCTGAAGAGATTGAAATAGTTGCTATTGTAGATATTTTAAGGCGGGCAAAGGTGGATGTTGTGGTTGCTTCAATTGAAAAATCAGTGCAAATTTTGGCATCACGAGGCATAAAAATTGTCGCTGACAAGTTAATTGGTGATGCTGCTGAATCAGTATATGATCTAATCATTCTACCAGTAAGACAACTCAATTTTTTTTTATAATATTGAAAATTGCTTTTCTTGCATTCTTTCCTCATAGAATTGTGAGGGTTTTGTAGTCTTTGGAATTCCCACTTTGATATCAACAGATGCCTTTGGACCATTCAAATTAGTCTAATATCATAAGAGGGCTTTGAGTACATTGGTAGTCTTAACTTCAGCTTCAAAGGTAATTTGCAACATCTTGTGGAGATACTGTCAGTAGCTTGGGCTACTGAAATTACTGCATTGGTTGTTATCATTTGCTCAGGTTAACGCCATGCCACATTTCTTGGGATGAAGTGCTCAACAAGTAGCACATTCCAAAATCTAGGTTTTGCTAAATATTATAGATCTTTCTGAAATTGAGGCTGCTGTCTAGTGCGCTCTTTGACATCTACTTTTGTGTTTGCTTTGTATCCTTGAAGAGTTTTGATTTGCTGTGTGCTTTCAGGGAGGAAATGCTGGGGCTGAGCGGCTACACAAATCTAAGGTTCTAAAGAAGCTGCTTCAAGAGCAATATACAGCTGGCAGAATATATGGAGCAATTTGCTCTTCCCCTGCAGTTCTTCACAGACAGGGTTTACTAAAGGTAATTTGAACTATTTGAAATCTCTTTTCTAAACAGTAGGACGCTGAAGGATCTGCTTTTCTTCCCAACTATAGGATAAGAGAGCCACTGCACACCCCTCTGTTGTGACCAACCTAAACAATGTATCAAATGGTGCCAAAGTTGTTATTGACGGTAAATTGATCACAAGCAAGGGACTTTCTACTGTAACAGATTTTGCTTTGGCTATTGTGAGCAAGCTTTTTGGCCATGCAAGGACAAGATGTGTAGCTGAGGGTCTTGTTTTTGACTATCCCAGGAGTTAGGGCATCAGGTCCTTCTGGATGAAAGGCAATTTGGAAGATCCCTGTTCCATGGAGAACAGTCTATTCCCTGAACTCATATCAGCCAGTTAAGAAAGAAAATCCTCTTTCTAAGGTGCTTGCCTAATGGATATTTACGAGACTCGTGTTCGTCCAGATACATAATCCTGATTGCTTTTTTGGATAGCAGAACGAGGGAGAGTTGACATTTGCCTGTGTGTGAAGCTCAAAGCTACTCGCCCAATGGCGATTAACAGAAGATGTGTTGTGAGCTGAAGCTAACATCTCAAATGTCTCCTGAAGAACAGACTTGTTTGCAAACTTTATATGATAATTCAGTGCCGAACAGTATGAATGGACATAGAAATGGCTCCGTGTAACAACTGGGCAACGCAGCTGCTATTTATTCATCCCATCTTGCTCATGTTGCATTAGCAACACCAGGGATTTCAGTTCGGACCTGTGTTATTGTGGACTTTTTCTCGTTGCCAATGAATGATAAAGATTACAAGCTTAAATCGGGACTTTCATGTATGGTTATGATGTTGCCGAGATTAATCATAACCATATATTTCCTCTTATGCTTGCCTGTTCTTGACTGGATATTGTAGAACTGGCTGCTGTTGTGTCTGAAAAGCATCCGTCCAATTGTCAATCAACCCTTAATATCTAGCAACCTAACCCAACAACACTGAAAGTTATCATTTGGTCTGCATGAAAGCCACCGTATTAGTAGTCAAAGTACCACTACTTGGAGCTTGCTCAGTACTAAAGCACTGCTACTCTGGTGGCTTAACAGCCACAATATTAAAAGCCACCAATAAGCTCTTAGAAACTATTGAGTTACTCAGAAGTGCAAGGAAAACAACATAAAGATCTAGTTTGGAATTTATGTCTTTGGCTGCTTAATTCAACGATACAAGATGCTAGCATTTGCATAACACTCATGATCAATGCAAACACAACAGCCAGCCAATCATGTGCCTGAGCTCCACAGGCACCTTCGCATCTAGAGAACTGGACTTTATTCCTTATTTAATAAAATGACATGCTAATTAACTTGTTTACCAAACGGGAAGCATTCATCTTGATTTGCATTACACTAATTGCTGCCGAGTTCTGTCTTACCTTTCACTTGTTTTTAATGAATTCATTGAAATTTTTTTCAAGCATCTCAACTTCTCTTACTCGGGGTGTAAATTTGAACAAGATCTGGATGTATCCTGCCATGTATACACATATCTATTCAAATGACAAAGCGATCTGCAATCTGAGAAAAGAAGTGTCCATGTCTATGGAAAATAAAACAAGAACAACAAAGAAAAAGACAACTTGTTTAGTCACCAAGTCTCAAGCTGCGTAAGTAGGAGCGAAATCCCACATCGACTAAAACTTACTTTGTCTAACACGTTATAACAGACACACGTCACAAGCGCAATTGCCGAGCTCAGTAGCGTGGGCTTGTAATCCAAGAGGAGGCACCAAGAAGATAGAATGAATTAGGCTGGGTTTAGTTAGTGGAAGGATAATGGGCTGTTGTCGTCGGGATCTAAATTGGTCAATGACCATCGCCTTTTTTATTACCTGCATTTAAATCAATTTTGTACTGTAATATTATTACTCTTGGCCTGGGTTTTGAATTCTCGCTGTTCTTTTCGCGTGTTATTTAACAGCGCTCGCTCTGGGTTCAATAACTTCCTCTGTGTTGTTTCTTCCTTTTCTATCGAGGGGAGGAGGGACTCATACGAGTTCGGTTTCTTTTGGCTGGCTGCTTTCTGGCGGGTCTGGGTTCAGCTTAGATGCCCTGATCGTACGGTGGACCTCATTCTTCATTGGTGAGTGGGGCTGCCATCATTGTACATTAAATGCACGCCCCACCTGCCATGGCCTTTGCCCTCTTGGTTGAATGAAAGAGTGGGTTTTGGTTCCTGGGATTTCACACCCTGTTCTCTCCTGACCAGCTGGTCTGATTGAGTGCTGCTCCACCTCTCTTCTCCCTCTTCTAATTCGGTTGGGATGTTGTCAGGTGAGTTTCTGGTTATCTTGGTTTTTCCAATTCTGTACGGCCATTTGTTGCCTTCTTATGCAGCTTTTTTCTATTATTGATAGGGAATTTTGTGGCCGAGAGGCTTCGCTTGCTTTGTTTTCTTTGTGTCCGCTTCTTGGAATTTGGTTGGCATGGCGTTGTGGGGATAAGCTTTTTTTTTAATCTATTCTGTGTGGTGAATTCTCACATTTCCTTTTGTTTTCTTAAAAAACATTTGGATTTTGCAAACTTTCTGTGTTTTTTTTTATTCTCTGATTTGATTTCGTATGGTAGACAGATTTCACAACTGATTGGATTTCTTATTTGGATTATATTGAAGCTTTTATATTTTCTTTCTTCTCCGTTTCTTTGTCACATTTAGTTTTCAATCATGATTTAGAATTAGTTTCTTCAGAAATTTCTTTCAATATGAAAACTAGGTTTAGTTCTGTTGTTTCTTTCAGATTTAATTCAATCTGGACAGAAAAACTTTTCCTCAGCGGGTTTAATGCAAATATAAATAATAATAAGTATTAAAGCTGATTGGTTGATTCTCGCATCTAAATATTTTTTTTGCAGGATATTGCCAATTACATGCATGATCACAATGATGCAGAGGAATCCGTGATGCACTCATTCAAGGTTTGAACATCATTAGTTTGTGTGTGATGATTCACTTCTAATCCTCTATAATGGAGACTTGAAAAACATCATTTAATGGGAATGGCATGTTAACCATTTCCTTTCATCCTTCCACATTATTGTGGTGGAATATATAATAGCATAAATAGTTGCAGCTTCCAATAGCCTCGCTAAACATGTTGCCATTCCTTTTGATGGCTTCTGAGAGGTTGTCAGACAATTTCCTAGGAAGAAGTGAAGAAGTGTCGGCTGCTGAAAGGTTACGAGGTTACTTCATTGGGGTTGAGCCTTTTGGTTGCGAATATGAGGTGGCCTTCTATTAATGCATTTGACAGGGCATTTAGCATTTTGTGTTTGTTTCTATCAGTTTAGGGCTATTACGATGCCGCCACTATGAAGGCTTCAGGTTATCTCACTTGCCTTTTGTTTTTGGTTCTACTCCTGTGCTCGCTGTCTTTCTACTTCTTTGTCCACTTATTCTTCGTGCGATCTGAAAGGGTGTCCGTTTGTTTTTCTGTTGTCTTTTTAAATTTCACACTAGTAATAGTGTCCGTAAGTTCCTATTGATTTCTATTAAGTTCAACCCTTGAATTCCCCTGCTTCAAAGCTCTAGCACGATCGCTGGTTAATTCTGGTCGACGTTGTCCATCTTCGTAGGGGTTTCTTCCTACTCTTTTCCTTTATCTCAGAAGTTTGTTCTTTTTTAAGAGAGGGAGGCTGTTGTGGTCCTCTGCTTTGTTTAGTATCTGTCTTCTCTTCCTTTTTACTGATTCGATTGGTTGTTTGAAGGATTTAACTTTGTCTTGAGTTGCTTCTTTTTTTTTTCCAGTAGGGGTTGCTTTTTAAGGAGGCAATTGGCTCTCCCTATTGGTTCTTCGGTTGAAAAGATTTTGGCAGATTCTTACTGATTATCATCCTTTCAGCTGATTTCAGTTTGGTATGTCATGTGATAAATTCTTTTAGGTAAATGATGCATACCAGCAACAACCTGGTTACCCCACTAGAGTGTGTTCAAGTAGCATTATAGCTAAGGAAATTTGATTGTGTCATGTAATTTGAACTGCCATTGTAGTTTAAACTTATTACCTCCACCTGGTACAATCAAACTGTAATATATGACCTTTCCACTGTTGTTTCTGGTTTGCATCAGTTACTCATAATTCATTGAATTAAGTGGGGCAATTTGCATCCCAGATATCTGTCGGTGCTTATGACAGTTCACACGATACAAAGGTAAATTTCATTGACTTGCAATATTTATCAAGAAAATAGAAGGTCCACGACTTGCTTGCTAGAGACTAGGTGAATCAGGTTCATCATGCTTACAAGCTGCTGATTGGCTAGCGAACTTGGTTTTTTAAAAGGCCACTGGGAAAAGCTGCTACGGATGCTCCCTCTTCTGGTTTAATCCCTGTCTTATTTTATGATTTTATTGGGAGTATATCTTTATTTATTAATTGCATTTGCTTTAACTTTGTATATCAAACATGCAGAGCATGGATTCAAATTTAATAGACAGTAAAAGGCAGGGAGCGTGCTATATATATTGCAAAAATCAAGAATTATGTGATCTTCATATATATACACGTAGCCATGTCAACCCAATTAAGCTTGTAATGCAGCTTCAAATGAGGGAACTAGAAAGAATGTTTGATGAAGTACATTGTCTGTCTTATACCATTTTCATTATAATGCTCCTGTTGTAAGTACGAGAGAGAGAGAAGTGATGATCCAAAACTGAAGCCTCCTCATTCCATGATATCCAATCTACGTGACGTGATTTTCATTTCTTTTCTATTGTTTCCTGTCCGCATTATGAAGTTGATAAACTAGAAAATGCAGGCATAGTCAAAGGATTTGACTATTATTTATTTATGGTAATTAAGAAATTAGGAGGTGAAAGCTACACTGACTTGCCTCTGTTACTGCAATTGAAGGTCCTGATACAAGTATGTGTTTTTGAATGACAGAACTCCATGTTGGTGAATTCTATATGGTAAAGTGGCATCCTAAAGTGTAATGAATACTAAAATAAAATTACAGGCCATCCAGTTCATTCAGCAGTATTTAGAGTGTAGGAACTATGCACTTAGAATTAAGACAGTTACCTTCTCCTTTGTTGCATCTGGAAAATCTAATGCATTCAACAAAATGAAGAATGGATGCAGAGAGGCTCGTGGGCTTGCACTCAGTTCAACTTTATAGGATTCATTTTCTTAAGTGATATAAAGTCTTGAACCTCCCTCGTTTTAGGAGGTCATTGCTAAAATATGGTGGGGAAATTTAGCTTCTAGAGTGTGTATTGCCGAAAACCGGCCTTGGAAAGTGCATAGCTCTTCTTTCTCACATCTCTGAAAACCCAATGGGAGTTCCAATTGGTCTGTGGTTCATTAAAATAAATTAAATAAACATATATTTAGGATATTATTTTATTAAATACAATAATATATTTGGGATTTATTTTATTAAATACTTTTCAGTTTTAATTTTTTTTTCAAATAGGATTCTAAAATTATTTTTTAACATCAACTAGCACTTTTTTTATGCAACCCTCCATGACTTTTTTCCTTAAATCTTATTAGATTATTTTATTGCATGTATCTATTTTAAGTATTATATAATTAAATAGAAAATAGATTCAAAATAATTAAGTTATTAGATAATTAAATTCATAACCTAAGATATGAGTTTTGTATATTAAGTTGGCTTGGTCTAGGTTTGTCATTTGAATATTAAAAATTTAAAACAACTCTATCTCTAATTTTTTTAGGAATAAATTGCAAACGGTTTCTAATACGGAAATTGCAAAGATGTCAATAATCTTTATAGCCATCGCAACTTTTTGCCGGGTAATGATTTGGTTGGGATTATTAAAAAAGTATACAGAATCAAGGGACAACCTTTGGGAAATTTGGTGGGTTGTGATTTATTTTGCTAAGAGCATCTCCAACCATGCACCTAAAAAAAATGTAAAAAAAAATAATTAAAATTATATTTTTAATTTTTATATTTATTTTTAAATATTTCAATCAATCAGTTAAGTAGGTCCCCAAGAGACGTGATGTAATGATAAAGAATTTGAGATTTGTATAGTAGGTTTGGAGTTCGAGTCAGGGCATGCATCTCTTGTAAAAGTCTGAGACAACTAAAATTTTACTCACTTACTTGGGCCTGCAAAGTACATTTTTCAGGGATGGGGTTTTCTTAAATAAAAAAAAGATTAGTAAAATAGCTGTTAAAGAAAAAAAGTGTTATTTATATATTTCTTTGTAGCAAAAGGTAAAAGTAAATAAAAATACTGGCTACCATATTTTAAAATAAAAGTGCTACTTTAACAGTAATATATAAAACTAAAAATTAAAAATATTTATATAAATAAATTAAAAAAATTTAAATTTAACTTAAAATTATATTTTTTAACTTTCAAATTACTTCATTAATTTTATATTTATTGTTATAAATTACTCATATTAATTATATAATTAATAACATTATAATTATATTATATAAAAACCATCTAAATTAGTTATATAGTTATATTAAAATTAATTTAACATAAGATATATTAGAATATAATTGACCTCCTAAATAGCTTTTTATTATTGGTATTTTTTATTAGAGATGCTCTTACAGTGAGATTGCATTAATCAGGTGTAGTGTAAGTTGTTTTCATCTGTTTGATAAAAGATTCGTTTGTAATCTCTCCTTGTATTCCCTTACAATCAGTCTTTTGCTTTGTGGCTAATCGTTCTGAGATGAACTTGTTTACATGTTGTACTAGCTGATGCATGCTGCTGATGATAGCCAAAGAAAACAAGAATCTAACAAAGTCCAATGGTAATTGGCTATATAATCTCATTTGCCGGGAGGACACTTGATGGGCAAGTGAGCACATAAAAACATGTGCACCTCATGGAACTTCAGCTTTATGGCAATTTACTCCATTACACGACTAAAAGATTAATATTTTCTCCCAAGTGCAGGAGTGTCGAAGTAATAAATAACCCGGCAAGACCGGGGTCAAACCACAAGGAGGTTAATTGTACAAATTATAAATAACAATAATACAACAACAACAATAATAATAACAACAACAATAATAATAGTAATAACAATAATAATAATAACAACAATAATAGTAATAGTAATAGTAATAGTAATAGTAATAGTAATAATAATAAAGAAAAAAAAGGAGAAGAAAATGAGAACTTTGAGATAGAATATTAATGTAACGATTAAACAATGATAATAATAAATGTCAAGGTTAGAGGATCCACTAATGATATGTCAAACAAGTATAATATAAACTATTATTATTCAATTGGAAACCATACACAAAGGAGGTTCCAATCAGATTATAGATTATTAACGTGATTACATTAGTAATCTTATTCGATTAATGCTAATACTTGTGAATCTCGTCAAGCATTCATGATTATAACTTATGTTAACAACAAATCAAGTTTCTTTCATAGCTCAGGTGTCGGTTATACCATACAGTATGAACTATGAAAGTGTTAAGCATTTGTTATACCAAGTGTTATACAATATAAATCAAGATTAGTCATTTAACAAGCAAAGTATTAAAGAGTGAACAAAATAACAAATACAAAACATGTTAGTATTAAACATTAAAGTCCATATTAAGTTTACATTATACTTATTCTTACACCATTAGTGTAACCTTTTCACCTTGACATGATAAACTTAGCTAGACATAATGAAAGAAAGAAAAATAAATAAACAAAATAAGAACATAAATAAGATAAAAGTTAACTAAGTAAATGAAAGGCATAAACTTGATATTAGTGAAAGCAAAGCATAAACATTACAAAAAATACAAAGAAAGAAAGCAAGAGCATGATCTTGATCTGGAAACCAAAATGCCTAAATATATGGTAAATGCCTCCTTTTATAGGCCAAAATTGGAAACTATTGATTTGATGACTAATTGATGAGTGGGTGACCAACTCTTGACTTGGTGACAATCTTTATCTTCTCTTGTCTGCCCAAAACGTCATTGATAACGTCAAAATTAGAGCCACTTGAAAACATGAAAGTTGTAGGAAATTGTCTCAGTTGTAAAAAATTCAGCTCATTTGGACTTCTAGAACTCCAGATATGGGCCAAATACTGAACAGTGCTCGGACTGAAAGACAGATTCAGACTTCTTTGTTGTTGCTACAATTTGGATTTGAAAATGGTCCTTTTAGATCTTGGGCTCCATATAAAAGTTGTAGGCCTATATCTTACCTTTTCATCCATATATAGTAGACCTAAATCTGAGATCTACAACTCTAGATATGATCCAATTACCGAACAGTGTTCTGGTTTGGATTGCACCGACATCTCTTTTCTAAGTTTGGTTATCTCTTTGTCCTTCCAATTTCAGTTCTTAAATTCATCAATCAATCCTTTCATTTATGTGATAAGCCTGTATTTAAAATGAACATTTACCATAAATTAAAGATATCTTATCTTATTAGATATATTATTATAAAACATGTTTTAGTTAAGGAGTTATTGATACTTCAAGTGTAAAATGATGATATAAAACCTTGATAAAAATATACTTTTAAATATCAATCACTGCACCTCATAGAAACCCATGTGGCAGCTTGGGCTACTGGAATTACTGTATTCATTATTATCATCACGGGACAAGTGTCTCAAGAAGCACATTATAAAATTTAGGTTCTGCTAAATATTATAGATCCTATTTTTTAAAAGTTGAATCAGGTACCCAGTGTGTTCTTTGACGTGTACTTTTGCGTTCCGCTTTCAAGAATTTTGATTTGTTGTGAACTTTCAGGGAGCAAATGCTGGGGCTTAGCGGCCGCACGTATCTAAGGTTCTAATAAGCTGCTTAAGAATGGAAGAATATATGGAGCAGTTTGCTCTTCCCCTTTGCAGGTTTTCATAGGCGGTTTACTGGAGGTAATTTGATCTTGATGAAATCTCTCTGGTAGTATGCTAAAGCATCTGCTTTTCCTGCCAACCATAGGATAAGAGAGTGACCTCACATCCCTTTGTGGTGACCAAGCTAAACAATGTACTAAATGGCCTCAAAGTAGTTATAAATGGTAAATTGACCACAAGCAATGGACTTTTTGCCATAACATGGTTTGCAATGTTGGCTATTGTGAGTAAGCTTTTCGGTCTTGTGAGGACAAGAAGTTTAGATGAAGGCCTTGTTTTTTACTACCCTAGTTGTTGAAGTGCATCAGGTTCTTCTAGATGAAGGCAATTTTTTAAGATCCCTGAACCACGTAGAATCGTCTCTTCCTCAGACAGATCATATTAGTCAGTCAAGAAACGAAATAGATGCTTGCCCAGAGTATCAAGAGAGTCAAGTTCGTCTAGATAGTGTGTCCCATAAGCATTTTCAGATGCCAGAATGAGGGAGAGTTGAGATTTGCCTGCCTGCAAGGCCCAAAACAATTCGTCCAATGGTGATTAGCATAAGACATGTTTTGATTGTGAGCTGAATCCAACATCTTCAAATGTTCGTGGGAGTTTGGCAAGCTTGAGATGATAAATTCAGTGCTAATCAGGTTAAACCGACACCGAAAATGACTCTAATACAAATGGGACCACCGCTGCTTTTTTATTCTCATTTTGCTGTGGTTGTATTAGCAATGCCAAGGCTTTATTTTTCTACCTGTATTATCAGTGTTAAGTTTTCTTGTTGTTAACAAGTAATGAAAGTCCCTAGCTTAAATCAAGGCTTCAAAGTGATATCCCAACATATTCCCTCTCAAGCTTCTTGGTTTGTGACTGAATATTCAGCTGCTATGTGTGTGAAAAACATGTCCAACAACCTTGAAATGTACAAACCTACCAGCAATTCAGAGGATCATCATTTAATCTTCATCATAGCATAAATGGTTTAACGAGCTCTTAGAAATTCATGGGTGACTAGGACGTATAACAAAAAAATATGGTGTCTGAGCTGCACAGAAGCATTCTCATGGCAGCTCCAAGGCAAGACCAACATGAAAGCACTTGTGAATATTTGATAATAATGGAATGTTACACTTTAACTTGGTTTAAAACCTATTGAGAAATTGTCACTCTTTTTTTTTTTTATTTACGTGAGTGTCCCGGCCAGTTTGCGCGCACCACGACTAATCTCACGGTCCACTGAACACCCTGCAAACCTAGTAGGCATGTAAGGCACCGTGGGGATGACAGACATACACATGAGGATTCAAATCTAGGTGCAGTGGAAGAAAACAAGCCTCTTCCACCGCTAGGCCAAGACTTAGTGCATTGCCAACCTTTTTAACTTAGCTTATTCAGGGTATAAATTTATCCTATATGTATTATACCATATATATCCACTAAAAGAGGACAATGATCTGCTTAAAATAAGAATAATACATAAAAGATATTGTGTTTATTGAGCAAGTTTCATCCATGGAAGCAGCAAGTAGCAGGGGAGTCGGGAGCTCGAAGGGAGAAGAATCCCACATCAGCTAAGCACCTCCTTTATGTCGAATCGCGTTCCTTGCCCGCTCTATGCGGGGAAAAGGAACAGGCTCCCTCGCTTTATAGACATAGCAAGCGAGATGAGTCTAGGCCTAGTAAAGTGGGCTTGTGATCCAAGTGGAAGCACCGAGGTGACGGGACCTTGTTTCTATCCAGAAGACTGGGTTTGTGGCGGCTATTCTCTGGCCTACCCATTCCAAGCCTAAAGGGTGTGAGGCTGGTTTCACACATCATCGACAACCTCCCGCTCTTGGCAATGGAAGGATAACGGGCCGCTGCCACTGTTGTTCATAACTTTTTTGTTATTTCTTTGATTTTATTTATTTATTTTTGGATTATACAGGTTGTCCGTAGTTATGGAGAATAGCTGGAATGAGAAGCCCACCTTCAAGGAAGAACTACAAGACGATAAATCGTCTTCTACCTTAGATTATACATGTCCCTCTCGCTTTTTGATTGAACTCATCTGGTCACTTTGCTCTGTTCATAGCTCTTCTTTTCGCTTCTACAGGGCTGCGCCTCTTCCTTCTTTTCTAGTCAATCCATAGGGGAAAACCCTGAAATCCATAGTAGCTGTCGATTATGTGCCAAATTGAGAGTATTTGTAAAAATCGTTGGATAAGATTTGCGCTACATCAGATAAGTGGTGAAAGCGCGCATTTTACCACTTGGGTCAAGATTATTTATCAGTTTTTTTTTCTTCCTCCCACGCACACATGGAGAGATGAAAAGTAAAACGAAGAATGCTTTTCACAGTAGTCATGATCGATTTTCGAGTTCGATGCTATCTTTCTCGAATCCAGGATGGAAAGTAAAAGACAAACGTGGATAAGAAAGTTTAATGCACAGGGATATCATAATTTCATGTCATAATTTACAACTTAACCATCTACTCCTGCACATACAACTACCCTACCCTACTCTACGCTACCCTACCCTACCCTTGCAGTATAAGATGCAAATCACATATGCACCCTCTAATCCTTACACCACACAAATGGCTAAGATTTTGCAAGTTCAAGCACTGCTTCTACCATCCACAATCAATCTATAAACTCTACCAAGGTCCAGTCAGTGTCCTTCGCAAGCATTGTCTTTTACCTCCCCACTGCGCTTTCATTGTCTCTAAGAACTGCAAAAAACAGAGAGGACAATCAGCCCTCGCCTTACTGATGAAGTTGATGCGCATGAGTTTCAGAATTTACAACTACAATGAAATAGCACAATTCGTCTCGAGATTCTTAGTTTCCTCGGGAACCGTGCCACCTCCTGACTACTAGGGGGTCTACATAGAGAAGAGGTACAATAATGCACTTTAGCTTGCTATCGACTCCTTCCTTATCTGCCTTCTTTGGTTCCTTGCTGTCTACATTTTTTCCCTATACTGCTGGCAACCTATGTCATTGCTCCAAATTGATCAAAGCTAAGGGCACTATGTGCAGTCATTACATTAAAAAAAGAAACGCAACTCAGCGAATGCAAGGATTAGTATGGCAAGTGAACTTTGAAATAGCCCTGATCAATTTAAGAAAGCAATTTTCTACAAAGTTACAAGACATTGTTTTGACGATAACCCAGGAATTTTATATTTGGGATAAGATGTGGGACACGCTAACAAACTAAGGATATAAACAAAGAAGATGGCACTTCCATGACACTATGATCCCCCATCCAAAAATACAAGCTGCAATGGTTCTAAAAACATAACCAAGGATATAATATCTGATTACATGAATCTGTTTAGTGTAAAAGGAAACAGTACAAGTAAAGAGGCCCATACCTGATTTTTCTGCATTTCAAATATTTCAGCCTGCAGCAACCAAGATTTGGTCAAGCAAGTTTGCCGCCCACCAAATTCCAGGAAATTTTTTTCCAGAAAAGAGCATACCTGTTTTCTCTGTAATTCTTTGTTCCGCTCTTTAAGTTTTGCAACTTCATCTTCCAGCTCTAATGTATAGGCCTGCAGAAACCCAAAAGTGGAAAGCAACACGAAGTGTCAATCATTTTTCTCAGTTGAAAATTACTGATCAGGCATCACGTCAATGAAATAAAAACTTCACTAAACAGTAAGAGTTTCAATGAACTGAGAGAAATAAAACACTTAACAAATCTCCAGGACCAGAGTGATTTATTTATTTATTTATTTTGTGCGTCCCACTTAAGAAGGACATTGCATGTATCATGTCGATGGATGCTTGAAACCAGGACAAATTAAAAACTGCTAAAAAATAGAAGCAAGGCCTCAACAGATTTCAATCAAATAGTTTACAGTACTTTTTGACCACCTTTATTGGAAAGCTTCCAACCAGTCTTAAGAACACCTTAGTTGAAAATTAATAGCTTATAATGGCGTATTTATTATTATAGGTATAAGTAAGATTTAAGGGGGACAGACAAGTGAACCATAACTTGTTGCTTGATATTAAGACAAGAGAGAAGTTGACTTCTACCACCAACCACATACTTATGCACCTACATGATAAAAATGGCCTTTAAAACTACATACAATCTGGCATTCTAAAATACTGCTGCCTCACAAGCAGAGTTTGCCTATTTATCAGCATTTCAAAGTGGAAAGGAAAAAAATTGGATTTAATGAAAACTCGATGATACAATGAGCCCATGGTGTCCATAATCAGGAAAAAAAAAATTAAATCCATGCGTGGAAACACCAAGAGATGCCACCCAGGCATCGAACCAGACCTCTACTGCAGCAAAAGAACAATGGATACGTCTAAAATTACAACCAAGAACACAAATAGCTCCTTGATTGGATCTTAAATACCAAAGTCAGGGAAAATATTTAAGCACAAAAGCAACACACAAGGGAGTACTCAGCAGCTGAAAGAAATATAATAATAGCTCAGTCACCATACTTACCTGCTTGCGAGCCCGTGATCTTGCAGCTGACTCTCTGTTTTTAATCATTCTCCTCTGCCTTCTCTCAACAACCTTCTCCAGAGCTGCGCTGGGTTTCCTTCCCCGACTAAATACAAAAGGAACTGGCGATAGTGAAGATGTGTCAGCATTACTCTTTGCAATCACATCCGGTGATATCCTGTTTGCAGGAGATCCTGTTGCGACTGTAACACCTCTAGCTGCTAAACTAACCATTTCCATTCCTCTACTGTGAGCTAGACCATTGTTCACAGATCGATCTGCAATCCCAACAACTGGTCCTCTCACTCCAGGGCTAGCAAGCCGAGCATTGTTTGCCACATGTAAAGGTGATGCAAACACCACAGTTGCTGCTGGCTTGGGAAAGAGAGGCTGCTGCTGCTGCTGCTGTGGCTGCGGTAGTTGCTGAGAGGGTCTGATTCCACCCACATTCAGAGCTAATCTAGAAGGCTGGTTAGAAACTAAATTGTTCTTCATTATCCCAGTCCCCATAAGCCCGTTGTTTCCATTTGGCTGCTGAAAGCCAAGAGCCAAACCAGTAGTGTTGTTGTTGTTGTTTAATTGCGATAGTTCACTAAATAATCCACTACTATTAGGCCTTCCAATTTGTTGAGTATCCTCTCTCACTACCCCAGCCCTCACCAAGAACTCCTCCAGAGTCATCTCTCTTAAAGTCTGTTGCCTTTGTGGTAAATTGGATCCTGCAACACCACTGGTTTCTTTTATCAAGTCTCTCCAAACCTCATCAACAGTCTTTTGACTTAGTGTCCTAGGCAAAGTTAAAGACCCTTGTCTCTGTAAATTCCCATCTGGGGTACTTCCTTCTCCACCCACACCAACTGTATTTGTCATTGCTTGGGTCTCTTCAGCAGTCCATATGTTTTTCAACAGCTCGTCCATGTTCATTGATCCAAAATCCTTCTCAAGTCCACCACCCCAGGTATTTTGGAATTCATCGAAGGTTAAAGAGTATACTGAAGACTGGCGAACCAAGGGGGGATTCTCTGGTGATTTTCTAACGCTTCCTAGTCCTGGTGAGGCATTTCCAAAGTTCTTGAAGTCCCAATGAGAGTCCATTTTTGAAAATCTTCGAAGTAGTGGCAACGGCTGGCTCAATCAACGAATTTCGTAACTTTTTTCCGATTGAAGAAGATCAGAATGGAATCTCACTACTTCTATCTAAATTCAGATAAGAAAAAAATAATCACCAACTCAAGTCATATACAAGTAAAAGTTACAATTTTCACATTTTCTGTCGGATAATACAAAGTTTTAATACCCAAGTTCAAGTAAACATGAACACACAACCATACACCAACACAGGTAACGTCAGAAAATCCAATAGCACAAAAACAAGCCTAGCCATGGATTGAAACAGAAAAGATATCAGTATTTAAAGTGTTCTTAAATACCATTTCCAAAAACGTAACAAAATGAACTGAGCAATTTTTGAATCAGTTAAACCAAGAGTAAACTTTCACATAGCACCTAGTTTTCGTAAAAAGAAGCACAAAATAAAGCATGGTTTCAAAGAGTCGAATCAATGAAATTACAAAGTTTCAGACACAGAGAGAGGGGGAAGATGATCCCATTTCCAGGAATAACGATGGCACAAAGTACAATGAACCGAGTTCAAGAATTAAAAAACACTCTTGTGCAGTTATTATCGATAAATAGAGATCAAACTAAGCTCAATCTCAAATAAATTTCATGCTCTCCTCAATTTCAGATCCAAAAAGTTCATTAAAACTGAAAAAACAGTAGATAGCAAACCAATAACAGCTTCAAGTTTGTTACTTTTCATGTTTATGTACCGGTACCATCACACCCATGCTCAAATATCCATAAATAATGCAAAAAAGGATCAAGCCTTAAAACCATAAAAACTAGGCAACACCAGCTTAAATTAAAAAAGAAAAAGAAAAAATCAATACCAAGTTCAAAACGAAACAAAGGAAAAAAATCACACTAATTAAACTCCAAAAAACTCATTTTATCACAATATTTCTACTTTCACCACCCAAGAAAAAGAGGAGGGGGGAACAAGATAGTCCAGGTAACCATTCAAACCATCTCCAACATTAATGAATCTATCTATTGATGAAAACAGTAAATTGAAATCTAGCAAAGAAAACGATATTTTTAAGAGATAATACAAATAGAAAACAAAAAAAAAAGGAAATAAATAAGACTGAGAAAAATAAAGAAAGTAAACAAAACAGTGTGTTAAAAAAGAGAAAGACAGACACCGTAAGAGACAATAAAATAATTAAGAGATATAGAGAGTTTATTTTTATTACCTTTATTTTTTTATTAAAAAAAATGAAAATCAGGCAGCGCCTCGAGAGGGTGTAGCGTTTCTTGTGGGTTTCTTCACTTGCTGGTGGAGGCGACAAGTGTCTAATGCCTCCCGGACACGAGTCACCAATTTAAGGAGCTACAAAAGATTTTTACTTTTTTTTGTTTATTAATTTTTTATTTCTTGATTTGAGATCTCGCAACGTGGTCCAATGGGATAGAGTTGAAATGATGATGTGACATGTAGCCAATGAGGGAAGGAAAGGTGGGTTGCTCTTCACCGATGATTTGTGCTTTCCGACAAAAAAATAAGTGGATGGTGATGAGGTTTGGTATTTTATTGGTTTGTCAGTGTCTGGAGGAGGGGGTTGCATGCGAGGTGGTGTTGGTGGCCAATGGATGTCAACCGTTCATTGTATGAGATCATATGATGGCTTTGATCATGGTGTCAGGGTCACGTGGCACTGGACGCGCATTTATCAAGAAATCGAATTTTTTATTTAAAATTATTTTTTATATTTTTTATTTGTTTTAATGTGATAGTATTAATAATAAATTTTAAAAAATAATAAAAATAATATTTTTTAATAAAAATTATTTTAATCAATATAAAAAATATTACCAGCAATCCCTTAATGATCCTCTCTTCTCACGTGAGATAAATAGTTGTAATTTTTAATCAGGTTAAACTTTGATAGAGAAGCAAGTTTGTTTTCCATGTTATCATTTCAAATTTTATTAAGGGGATGTTATCTACTGGTCACTTCTCTACTGTGGAGTGATAAATCTATATTCGAACCTAGAAATTTAATACTGTGTGTTTTTTGAGTTAATTTAAAACCTAATAACAAGCAAAAATATATTCCTAATAATCTGCTATTATACATGAAAATAAGTTCTTTGTGCTAAAAGATATACCTTTTGAAAGTTGGATGAATTTCAAATCTTTTTTAAATAATTATCTTTATTTTTTAAAAAAATTTATATATTAGAACTAAAAAAACTAACAAATCTCTTTACCCATGAGAATTCAATGTGTTTCATAGCACAAAAAATTTCCTATTCTAACACGAGCTAACTTTGATGCTGCAAGGTAAGGTTGTTAAACTTGTGAGTTAAGTTCTAAAATCAGATAATTTTATAAGTTAATTTGTATATATTGTGATAGCTCAACTCAACTTGTTATATATTATCTGTTTTGGGTTTTATCATTCTCACGATTTTGTTCGTGGTGATGCAAGCCAACTTCTAAACTCGATGCCCTAAAAAACGCATAACAAGTTAGCAACCAATACTCATAATAATGCTAACTACTAATCCCTCACCCACCAATATGGGATGTGACATATACCATGTATAAATCGGGTTAAAAACCCGAAAACCAGATAACTCGATCAACTTAGACCAAGTTTACGAGTTTGACAAACTCTTTAACTCTCTAAGTATTTGTTGGCTGACAAACTCTTCAACTCTTTCTTAATCTCTGTATCCATCTCAAACAGAAGAAAAACACCTAAGTTTGGAGGTCCAGAGAAGTGATCTTCTCTGGACCTCGAAGCAACATTGTTCTAGCTACGAGAGACAATAACACATCGCGCCACGCTGCATGTATCGAAGTTGTTCAAAACACTCAACATCAAGTCTCTACCAAATAGATCTAATGGGTCTTGAGTTATTACTTAGAAGGAGAGTGAGAAGATATAACTGAGGGTGGTGAGTGGAATCGAGGGAAAGAAGGTGAGTAAGTGCATCAAGGGCAATTGATTTTAGTGATGATGTTATAAATTTCTTGATCAAACAATTAATAGCTAAAGCATCTCTTGTGGCAATGATGGGCAATACTGTAGAGAAAAAACGCCAAACTTTTTTGCTAATTGCTACTAAATATTCAAAGTTGTTTTTATTTGGTTGATAAATTGAGAGGTGATGACGTTGGCTATGAAATATAAGGTAATGGTTGTTGACGGTGGCTAAGGTGGTGATATTGGCTGTGAAATATAAAATAATGATTTTATATTTTCTTCGTTATCGTGTTGTGAAATTGAGATTCTGTCTAATCTCAGTGTTTTACAATGCCTTGTAAATAAAAAAATCAATTAAGAAGGAAAAACAAAAGAAAAACATTGTGAATTAACTTTGTGAGTAAAGTTATAGAAATTGATCCTTAATTATTTTTTAAGTTTTAATTAATTTTTTTAATTGTTTTAATGTATTAATATTAAAAATAAATCTTAAAAAATAAAAAATATATTATTTTAATACATTTCAAAGTTAAAAACACTTTAAAAAACAAGATTTATCATATTATTAAACAACCACTAAACCCCACACTAAGTTATTAACTTATTATTTACTACTTAACTAAAATTATTAATATATAATTAATTAAAATATTTTATTTATAATTTTATAATTTAAATTTACAAATCCAGTTTATATTATATATTTAATGTAGTGTTAACAACCTTGCTGCAAGGTGATTCTTATAAACTGGCACTAACACGGACCATAACTACCTCAACTGCATGTATCCAAACCAAACCAAATCAAAACTGGCACTGGAAGATTCCATGGTATCCACATATTGTATAATTTATTGTCAACCAAAAGGAGAACCCAGTCAAGATAAGCAATCTCTTGACATTCTGGCACTGATAGTGGGGTTTCATTCACGACGTGGGCGGTCATGATTCCTCCATTTCATTGACATTAAAGACATGAAAAGCATATAACAGGGACTGCAGACAAAGAGTAATGGCGGGCCTTCACCTACATTGGAACCATCCAAGCTATGGTGCCGCCAGGTGCACGTCTCTACAGGGCCTGCTTCCACGTTTTCATGCCCATTTTAGCAGTGGGATCAAGCATGATAACATCAGGGCGAGTATTGAAAAAATGGTGGTTTCTCTTTTCTTGCAGGAACTGTGGTTTTCCAGGTGGAATGTGGAGATTCCTGACGGCTTCTGTTATCCCTGGTTAAAGCAAGCCTGTGCAGTTTAGCTATCATGCGTTCAATAATGGGCTCTCATCATCACATACATGACAGCATGGGAAAATGTGGTGAGGAATGGGCCTGTGGTGGTTTCTTTTCTTTTCTTTTCTTTTTCGGAGATCATTCGCCTCCTCTTTAATTTCTGGCATCCTTCTTACTTTCCCTGCTTCAAACGCAGATCATCGAAGGATTAGTAAAGCAAGATACACTTCAGTGTTGGGGTGAATTTAAATTGTGAAGATGTGCCGTGTCTTTTTTTTTTTTAAGATTAACGTGGATGTCCGGGTTAGCTTGCGCGCACCATGACTAATCCCACATGCCCTGAAGTTAACGACCATGTAAGTCTCCAGTAATCATATCATATAAGCAATCAAGAACTCGAACCTGGATATGCCGTGTCTTAAACTGACGTGTGGTGTTCGAAAAAAGCTACAAATAAATACCACTACGTGTATCTTGAATGAATTTAAACTGTTACCGCCTTGATTAATGAACTGGACACGGGCTTTGGATCCTCGGAATTATCCTCTGCTGAGCATGTAAACACGAGCAAGACAGAGTAGGGCTTGATCGGAGTTAGAATTCCACCGGCTCCTCCCTCGATCAAGGAATTATTTTTCTAATAAAATAGAAGATAATGAGAAAGAAGGGGAAAACCAGACGAGGAGATTTTTGGTATGATAATGTTTGATTCAACTAGATGATATAGTTAAGACATACATAAAAATTGCATAATAACTCTATAAGCTCAAAAGACTAAAACTATAAATTCATAGACAAATCCTGCATAAAAGGATTGTACATGAAATATCTTGAACGCAATATTAATTACATTTAATTGTCAAAACACTTAAATTATATAAAAGATGCAAATATTAGGGGGTATATCATTTGTTTTTGAATCATTATTTTAAACCAACATATCGAATGCAATCGTCCTCTCTGGAATTTCAACTGTACCACATTAATTAATTGTATATTGCTTAGTGTATTAAATATCTCTTGTTCAATCCCTTTTTACACAAAACTAATACATAATTAATCATGGTAATAATTAGTAAAAGTAATCACTAAAACTAATTATTAATTACTTGCGATAAAACAGAATGGGACCTTGTAGTTTTTTCTTTCCTTGAAAATCGAATGTTTTCCCCTTAAAAATAATTTAATATGTCCAAGTAGAGGAAAGTTATTGTTCATATAATTTATTAATGAACATGCAGAAATAATTATTTTAAATAAAAATTATGTTATATTAAACTCAAATCCAAGTCATGTTGAGGCAAACTAGCTTAGGTGGTTTAAGTTCAAAATTCACTTAGTCTTTCCTTTCCTTTTTTTTTTTTTTTAATGTTTTAATATATGTAGTTTTAATTTTAACTCTTCAACTTCACATCATATAAATTATAAAAAGGATCTTGTAATTTTTTAATATAAGATTCATGATTTTGAATTTGTAAAAAATATCAATTAACGATTCTTTAAAATTAGTTTTTTTTTCCGTCAACAATTTATTTTCAACAAATAATGTTTTATGTTAAAGTGTTTTTATTGTAAAATAATATTCAAATAAATCTTAACCCAAAAAACAAGTAAACTCTATATTTAATTTTTTCCACAAATATACTCATTAACCAAGTTTTTTTTTTTTAGATTAACGTGAGTGTCCGGGTCAGCTTACACGCACCACGACTAATCCTACGGGCCCTGAAGTTAACGACCATGTAAGCCTCCAATGGCCATCATATGAGCAACCAAGGATTCGAACCTGAGATCATAGAGGGAGCAAACCCCTTGATTCCAAGTTCTTACCACTTGGCCACCACCTAGATGGTTAACTCATTAACCAAGTTCTTGCAAATATAAAGGGTATACCTTAAACAGTGAATTAGAGCTTTTATATAATGGTAGAATATGTCCTATTGGCTATATTTAATTTTGTCACAAGTATATTCATTAACCATGTTTTAAGAATAAGTTCTTGCAAGTATAAAGGGCATACCTTAAATAGTGAATTAGAGCTTTTATATAATGGTAGAATATTTCCTAATGGCTCCTTGTTTGGAGGCCAATCAGCTCTCTTTCTCCTATTATGCAAGGGTTTTTTTTTTATAATTTCACGATATTGGACATATTTTACCTACACGTCCATAAACAAATTTATTACGTAGTAACAATATTTTAAATTTATCATGTAGTAGTAATATTTTTATGATGCTATTTATGAGCCAGCTTACATGTAAAATTACCTTAAAAACACAATTTTTTATATCCACCTGCCCATTTCTTTAATTTCTATCCTCAAAATTTAAATTAAAGAAATTGATTAAGAAAACATACATACTTAATTATAGGCTACTCTGTTGAAATTGATAGTATTATATTTTGATTCATGTAATAATTAAATTCTCATTTCACAGGTATCCCGTCCAGATCACACATCAATGCAAAACAGGAGGCGTCGCATAATTCTCATTTCACAGTCTTTTTGAATGAGACAACCTCTTTCAGAATCAAAGATACAATGGATTTTTCAGGTTCGAGTTCTTGGTTGCTTATATGATGGTTATTAAAAGTTTATATAGTCATTAACTTCAGGGCCTGTGGGATTAGTCGTAGTGCACGCAAGCTGGTCCGGACACCCACATTAATTTTAAAAAAAAAATACAATGGATTTAATTTTCAAGTACGTGGCCAAAATTTGGACTGGTCCAGTAGGAAGGTTTAGATTGGCTAAAGTGATTCTGTGACTCCAGCCCAGTTCATGGCCAGCCTCTCATTGGCTTATGCTAATTCAATTATGGCCATGGGAAAGGTGGCTTATATTGACAATCTGGCACCACCTAATCATATATTAGTACAGCCTCCCCAAATGTTAATATTTCGTTCAATTAAAAATCATTGTTTATTAAAAAGCATATAATTATGACAACTCTAATTTTTCCAAATTAACGTTTAGTTTTTTGATCCAGTTAAATCCTCCACGACAGTGAAATGAAGATTTTTCATGGTATTTAGAAAATAATAAGTAATAAGATATTCTCATTTAATTTTAAAAAGATCAAGAATAAATAATAAGATATTATTAATTATCTTTTTAGCACCGTAAAATTTACAAAGTGGAGATGAGGTTATTAAAGAAAATTTTAGCAAACATAGTTAATAATGCCATGGTCGTCGTTCCATTATACCAAGTGGCATTCTGGATTTTCGCAGGGCAAGCGATCAGTCGAATTATCTGAATCCCAACTACACGGGCTCGTCGACATGTTCTTTATTTTCGATTGATATGATCATTAGGATGATCAAGGAGATTGTATCGACGTTAAGATTAAGGTTCCTTGAAACCTTTACGCAGCAAAGAACTTAGTATCAACAAAGTGAAAGGCAAGAATGCCATAAATGGTCTCTACCAGGCCATCTCTTCTTTCGTGAATTCGCGCTAAGTTTCTGTCACATCTTTCTATGATTCGGTAAGATTATCAAAGTACAAAGCTTACCATAAAGTTACGGAAAAAAGAAGAACTTGTGAATAAAATCATCAAGAAGCATTCCCTGGAAAGGCATTATAGCAGTGATTCCTCCAAGAATTCAGAACTGACATGTAACAGGGACCAGTTCCAACCTCGTTTTGCTCTACATTCTTCATCCAAGAGCAGCAGGTTAATTAAGACCCAGATAAATAAATTAAAAAGGAAAACACTCTAGAGAAAAGAATTGCGGTGGCATATCCTACATCATTAATCTGGTTTAAAAAATTATTATTTTTTACCAATCTGCCAACGACTTGCAGGTAAAATACATCAATTTGGTACCCCTGAAAATTGCTTGACCGAGCATGCGACAATCTGGGCCCATTGTCGCAACCTCTTCTTCACCATCTCCGGATCATCACCTGCCGAAAAACACCATCTGTCAGATAAAAAATAAAGACCAAATCCAACGCCCAGAACACGATAAATACAGTAAGAAACAAAAAGAACCTTTTCACCTGAAACAGACAAAAGCGACGACGTCGAAGCTGATCTAGACAAACAACTACTATGCTGTTTATTAAGAGCACAGTAAAAACCTAAAGCAGGCAAGGTATCCGACAACTTCGGATCCAAATCAGACGAGTCGGGTCCGAACCCGAATCCTAGTTCAATACATGCTTTTAACTCCTCTAAATCATCGTCAGTCACACTCTTGCTGCACCGGCGTCGCGTTGCAGAATTTCCTTTTCTTCTGAGCCATATTTCCTCGCGGGTCATGTCTGGAGACCAGGATAGCTGCTTGTTGAGCATAGTAGGCCGGGGATTCCGCGGTGGCGGGAGGGGTCGTGGTTGAATTGACATTGACTGTGCTGACGATTGAAGAGGCTGGAGAGGCCCCTTGTTTTGGGGTTTCTGAGGCGGCGGTGAATGTGTTTTTTTGCCTTTTCGGTGTTTATTTTAAATGACGATTCCCGTGGGTGTACTGTTACATATATATGGTAATAATGAGGTGGCGGGAGGGTTTACGTTTTAAAGTTTCTTTTTTTAAAAAAACAAAATAATATAAAGAAACATCCCTCCATTTCAATTAAGTCTGTAAAACTATCAAAATATTAATAATGTCACCCTTACATTCTTACATTTGAAAAGAAATTTGTCAATAATGTGTAACTTCTTGGTTCTCCCAACTCCAGTATCACCTTATGGTATTAAATTAAATTCCTTGCTACAAGGAAAAACAAATTAATATATATATATATATATATATATATATATATATAT